CCCCCTTCCCTTCAGTCCCTTACCGTCCCCTCGTCTTCTTCCCCTTTCCTCCCTCCCCTCTCCCCCTTCCCTTGAGTCCCTTCCCTTCCCTGCACTCTCATCTCTCCCTCCCTTCCTTCCTTGCCTCCCTTCCTCTTGCCCCTCCCTTCCCTTCCCCTGCTCTCTCCTCGTCTCTGCTTCCCTTCCTCTGCTCTCTCCCCGTCTCTGCTTCTCGCTCCTGCTCTTCCTCCCCGTCTCTGCTTCTCGCTCCTGCTCTTCCTCCTCGTCTCTCGCCTGCATGTGGTTGTAGGCTTCTTCGTTGGACATCTCCAGGTGAAACCTCTCCCAGAACTGCCAAGTCCCTCACTGACGCTGACCCCATGCCCTCCGCCCCTCCGCCTCTCCCACCAGAGCCTCACCTTGTACAGTTGTCGCTCAGGGTCTTCAGGTCTGCGACGACACGTGACAAGACCTCTCGTCTAGCAGCAGCAAGTCTTTACCTTCCTGGCACCCCTGAGATGTCCGGGATGTTGGCGTCCTGAGAGAGAGTCAGTGAGGCAGACGCTGACGAGCAACATCATCGACAAGCTGTGAGGACAGCAACAAGACTCAACCATCACCATCGTGATCGTTCCCTCTTCCGTCTCGCTCTCCCTCCCCTCATCATCATCGTCATGCTCAACTCCAAGAGGTCCCTCGTTGTCCCTTCATCCTCGTCCTCGTCTTCATTTCTGAGTCGCTCTCCGTCTCCCCGCTGATCTCTTTTCTCCTCCGTCTCTTTTCTCTCCCTCGCCTTCGTCCGTTCCATTCCTTGTCCTCCTCCTCCCACTACTAGACCACTATCACCCACTGCTACACCACTATTGCTCCCTCTTCTTCTCATTCCTCGTCCTCGTCCTCCTCTTGCTCCTCCTCCTCTTCCTTCCTCTTCGTCTCCGTCACCTTCATCAGCATCATCAGGTTGATGAAGAACTCTGCTCGTCGACGCAAGATGATGTAGGCTTCACTGCAGTACTGCTGGAAGAGACGATAATGCTGACTCTGCTGCCCGCCCATGGCGTCGACCTGATCCGACGTGAGTCGAGAAACAGAGAGACGGAGAGAGAGAGAGAGAGAGAGAGAGAGAGAGAGAGAGAGGTAAGGAGCAGGAGAAAGGAAAGCATACACAAACGAATGGCAAAGACAAGAGCGGAGGCAGAAGAGGAAGGGCGGGAGAAGTCGACAACCACCAGCAGGCAGTCACTGGCAGAGATAAGGGCAAGATGGAGGAGGAGGTAGCGGGGTGAAGGAGGAGTTGACCATCTCTTTGACGAGCTTGAAGGGAGGAGGAAGAGGTTTCGGGTCTCGCCCGAGGATGTATCCGAAGTCAATGTGAAAGAGATACCCTCCTGATGAAAAGATCATTGAAACACCATGATGATGATGATGATGATGATGATGATGATGATGATGATGATGATGATGATGATGAT